AGCAAAACACGTAATTAAGAAAAAACCAAAAGAGCGGCAAATTTTTTAATTCCACATTTAATTAGCGGCAAAAAAGCGGCAAATTCTTGGCATAACGGAAAATCGATTTTCCGAAGTTGTCTCGCTAAGTTGATAGACATCTTAAGTTTTCATTGAGTCTGGTATTGTAGTTATGGATTGTGTTGGCTGAGATGAGACTTATTGTAGAGTGAATATTGGAAGTCTTGCAAGAATGGATAAAAATGCATGTTTGCAAGATATACAGAGAGTGAATATCCAGGATGCCATTCAGACAGTGTTGCCAACTGTACTATAATTATAGTATTTGTACTATAATTGAATGGTTATGTACTATTTACTATCAAAGGTCATTATAGTACACCTAAAATACTATAATTATGCATTATCAAATTATTTATTATATTTTTTACTGGAAAATAATCTCTATTCTCCTAAACCTATTTTGTTGGTTTGCAAGCCCTTATGTCTAGTCACCTTTTTTCTTTTCTTCTTTTTTTTAGCTCTGTCGTTTTATGGCGATTTCCATTTGTCAATCAGTGCGCACTGAGTGTATATTCGCACCTTTTTCTAAAAGCATGTGAAATTGAAAGATGGAGACACATTTTTTTTTTTTTGCACTGACACTACAAATGGAAATCGGTACATATTAGTATTGATAGAGCATGTATTTTTTGACAGTTGACATTTTAAATGTCAACTGTCAAAAGTGTTAATTCAGTGTTTTTTAGGTGACTGTGTTTACACTGTCAAATGTCAATTTCATTGATTTTCCTGAGCAGATCCATTTTTTATACCAAAAAAGATGTTATCGAACGCACCCGTATTGAATTTTTAAAATTATTTTTAATTTTGTTGTTTTTCACGAGAAAAATTTGAAATTTTACTGTGATGCGCCCCTGACTTTTTTCTCTTTTTCTCCAGAAAATGTCATAATTTTCGCCTGAATAGTTTTCCAGAAGAAAAATAAAATGTTGGATGGTGCATTTATGCCTACTTTAGTTGATTTTCATTAATTTTCCAATGGGGTTATTTTAAAACTGGAAAAATTTGAAATTTTACTATGAGACGCCTCTGACTTTCCTCTTTTTTTCCATAAAATGTCATAATTTTCTCCTGGACAGTTTTCCAAGAAAAAAATTAAATGTTAGATGGTGCATTTAGGCCTAATTTAATTGATTTTTATTAATTTCCAATGGGGTTATTTTTCACTGGAAAAATTTGAAATTTTACTATGATACGCCCCTGATTTTCCTCTTTTTTTCCAGAAAATGTCATAATTTTCTCATAAACAGTTTTCCAGGAAAAAAATAAAATGTTAGATGGTGTATTTATGTTTAATTTAGTTGATTTTCATTAATTTTCAATGGGGTTATTTTTCACTGGAAAAATTTGAAATTTTAGTATGATACGCCCCTGACTTTTCTCGTTTTGTCCAAAATATTTCATAATTTTTCTTTGGATAGTTTTCCAGAAAAATAAAAATGTTAGATGGTGCATTTATGCCTAATTTAGTTGATTTTCATTAATTTCCAATAGGGTTATTTTCCACTGAAAAATCTGAAATTTTTCTATGATACGCCCCTGATTTTCTTCTTTTTTTCAAGAAAATGTCATAATTTTTCCTTGAATAGTTTTCCAGAAAAAAAATAAAATATTAGATGGTGCATTTATGCCTAATTTAGTTGATTTTCATTAATTTCCAGTGGGGTTATTTTCCACTGAAAAAATCTGAAATTTTACTATGATACGCCCCTGATTTTCTTCTTTTTTTTCCAGAAAATGTCATAATTTTCCCTTGAATAGTTTTCCAGAAAAAAAATAAAATGTTAGATGGTGCATTTATGCCTAATTTAATTGATTTTCATTAATTTCGAATCGGGTTATTTTCCACTGAAAAATCTGAAATTTTACTATGATACGCCCCTGATTTTCTTCTTTTTTTCCAGAAAATGTCATAATTTTTCCTTGAATAGTTTTCCAGAAAAAAATAAAATGTTAGATGGTGCATTTATGCCTAATTTAATTGATTTTCATTAATTTTCAATGGGGTTATTTTTCACTGGAAAAATTTGAAATTTTAGTATGATACGCCCCTGACTTTTCTCGTTTTGTCCAGAAAATTTCATAATTTTCCTTTGGACAGTTTTCCAGAAAAAAAAATAAAATGTTAGATGGTGCATTTATACCTAATTTTATTGATTTTTATTAATTTCCAATGGGGTTATTTTTCACTGGAAAAATTTGAAATTTTAGTATGATACGCCCCTGATTTTTCTCGTTTTGTCCAGAAAATTTCATAATAGTTCGATCTCTGTGTGTCCCACCCAATGAACTATAGCTAAAAACTGGAATGCGCACACATTGCCATATCTGCCAAAAAAATGAAGCCATGAAAGACAGATGCCACAAGGGGGAATGTTGTTTTTCTCTGTTGCTCGCTGACATATGACGTTTTCGAAAGTTTTGTCATATTTCCCTTCACAGGTTTCATCAATTGGAATACGTGTTGGAAGCAATTTTCGCCATTTAACATAATGAGTGCGACAAAAACAGGTATTCCCCCCGCAGCAGCCGCACTAGGCCTCACGTTCGCCATATGTGTTCGCATTCCAGTTTTTGGTTATTAGGCAATTCACTCCATCTGTCAACAAGGGAAATTCAATATGGCGTGGCGGCCAAGCAAGTCTGTTTTGAATATGTTTTTATGCGTATTTTAAATTATTTTGCTCAAAGTTTTGCTTGCAACTCTGATTTTGATTATTTAATAAATTATTTGTTGACTAGGTACCTAAACTATTAAATCAATCAGAAACTAGATATTTTTTTGTGTTTTTTGGCCCATGTGTGGCCGCCACGCCATCTTGAATGTCACGTGGTTTGAATTGCCTAATAGTTCATTGGTCCCACCAGGGCAATTGGTGGTCATTTGTCTCCAGCAGGATACTATAATTTGTACAAATGTACTATAATTTTATAGTGTTCTATACTATAATAGTTGATCCGCAGTTGGCAACACTGCATTCAGGTAATATAAGTCATAGAGAAATATAATAAACCAAGGTAAGAGTTACCGATTCATATGCGCGAAGTAGCAACGTATTTCTAGATGTTTCTTGTAGCACATGGTGTCGCTAGCATAGCTTGGAACTATCTGACAATTCTGACATCACCTTCCATTCTCATATCTATCTCTTTTTAACAGATGCGATAATAAAGGAAAAGAGGACAAAGGATTTTTTAATTATTGTACAATGACATGTTCAAAACTGACAAAAAAAATTTTGACACAAATTAGTCAACCTAAATCTCAATTTATCAGTTGATTTAAAAATGCATGATTCTGGTAAGATTTACGAGATATACAATGTGAAAATGGCTCAGTTTATATATAAGTAATGATAATTATTAAATAGTAACCTATTATTAGTAGAAAGTGAGATGTTTTGGCTGTTTTTGCTTTTTTTTTTGTTGTTATCTTGCGGTATAAGTATAATTTAATTTTTATTATTTCTTTATTTACGTTGTTTATGTATATTTATTTTATTTGTATATGTATGTTCTTTGTTAATTTCGAAAGATGAAAATATATGAGCCAATTTTAAGCGATTAACCGTATTTATTTTTGTTTCCAGGCCAGCGTTTTTTCGCAATTTTTTTTCTGTCGACCGCGGAAAAACGCTGGGTTAAATTTCTATCTTCAGAAATAACAAAACTATAATTTAAAAGTTCAAAAAGCCCGCCAAATGTTATTTAAGTTGGTCTTGTAGTGTATGGTGGCACTAGTATCGATCTGACGTCATCGCCACAGATTAGTCATCGCGTTGCCAGTGTCGTACCCGTACCCAATAGAATCGGTAACTCTCACCTTGGTTTATTATATTTCTCTATGATATAAGTCTTTCTCTAAGTTTGTGGTAACAGAGCCAATCGCTTATTTTCTGTAAGTCTTCTTCAATGATGATTTATAAGTTAGCAGGGTCTTTGTCAAAATAAGTGATGCAAAGTATCATCTACATATAAATTGAGAGCCTTGAGGAGGTATGTATGACAGTGAGTTCATGTAGACTAGAAAGAGTGTCAGTCCTAGAATTGAACCTTGGGGGCACTCCGTGTACAATGTTTTCCATTTTACTTTTGTAACCTTCACATTCAACATACTGTAGTTATTGAGGAGGTATTGTTGTGTTTTCTGAATCCATATTGACCCGCATACCAAAAATTTATTCCATCCAAATAACTCATATTTACACAGGTCTCCAATACCTTAGACATAGCTGGAAGCAGGGAAATGGGCCTGCAGTTATTTAGTTCTGTGCTACAACCACCTTTAAATAAAGGGACAACCTTTGCCATTTTAAACAAACTTGGTACAGATGCAGTATTTATCAACTTATTCCATTTTTCAATTCCTTGATTGTATCAATGCCCAAGCTGTCAGTTCCAGGTGATTTTCCTGGTTTTAATTTTTTTATAACTGCACTGACCTCCTCTGTAGTCACAGGTTCCCATTGATTATTATAAGCAGTAGAAGTTGGTTGGAGTTGAGGGAAAAAAATTTTTGGGGGAAGTTTTTTGCTAGTTTTGCAGCAATTCCGGAAAAGTATTGGTTTAGCAAGTTGGCAACATCCTGTGGGTTCTGCACAGTGTGTCCTTAATGTACTAACTTGGGTAGCAAGCGGTTTTTCCTGGGTTTGGAGTTGTTGATTTTAGTGTTTAGTGTTCTCCATATCTGCTTTATTTATCTCGGCATTATAATAAGCTTTTTTGAGTCAATTATTGATTTTCTATAATTCTTTTTGGGTTAATTTGTAAAGTTCAAGTAAATAGGCACTGTGTAGAAACATTTTATTTCGTTGATAGTGAAAGTCATGTCTTCACATTGTCAAAAAAAAACTCTCCTTGAATCACTCAGATCAGCATAAAACTTTCAGGATTTATTAATAATTAAAGTCTTAAACTGAATTTGATGATTTCCATAGCCAAATCTGTACCCGACAGTGGGTCTTCAAACGCCAGGCGAAGTCGTTGACGCAAACTTTGGTCAAGAGCCTTTCGTTTTCGACATAGAAGACATGATGAAGGAGCTGCAAGCCCGTACCAAAATGGAAATTAGAGATTTCCCTGTGCCCGCTAAACAGTCCGAGTGGCAAGCAATTTTAAACAAGTAAATACTTGTAGTTGGTTAGATTTGAAATACATTTATAATTTTTTGTAGAATGGTTTCTACTTATCTAATTCATCACGGATATTGCAATACTGCCGAGGCCTTCGCCCAAATCACCAATCAGCCTTTTACCGAAGATATTCATTCAATTAAAAATCGCCAAAGTAAGTACACAACTAAAAACATACTTGGGTGGTGTGTGTGTGTGTGTGTGCGTGTCCTTAAAACTGATGGGTTCAACACCTAGTGGTTCTTTTTCCAGAAATTCTCAAGCTTGTCCTGTCCGGACGCATGGGCGAAGCAATCGAGAGGACCAGCCGATTATATCCAGGACTGCTCGAAAACAACCAGAATCTTTTGTTCATGTTAAAAGTAAAATAATTATTTTTGTACAAATTTGGGTTAATGATTTTAATGTTTTAGTGTCGCCAATTTGTCGAAATGGTTAATGGTTCTGACATTGAGGTTTGCCACAGGAAATGTGGCACAGGTGTTTTAGCTTCCCCTAGACCTGGCAGCCCCATTCAAACTTCAGTAATTCAGTCCACTAAAGGATATAGTAGTAATAAGAATAATAAATCTTCGGTAATTTTATAAACTATTTAATTTTTAAGGTTTTAACTCTACTATTTTTTTTTTTAAAGGTTGATGAAATGAATGAAACAAACTCTTCACATAACGGCAACTGTCCAAATACGTCCGTAATTCAGACTGATGACGACCGCATGGAGGTGGACAATTCAGAGGATTGCAATAATGGACAAACAAGCAGCGAAAATTGTCCAAATATAACAGATTGCCCTAATATTCAAGTGAGTTTCTTAGCCATATAAAATTCTTATAATGCAAAGACTTTGTTGTTATTTAGGATTGTCAAAATGGTAAAGAATGTCACACTAATGAGAATTGTTTAAACGGTAAAGAATCATTAAACGGATATCAAAATGGCAATAACCATAATAGTACTGATGGGCAAGAGGCAAATTGTTGTGATAACGACGACGACGATATGGGTTAGTTAATATTTATATATTAATTTTTGTTTGTTTGGGTTGCATGTGCAAATTATATTATTATTTTCTGATTATTTTTGTGCCACTTCAACAGTGGATTCTGTTGCAGATGTAGACACGCCATTATGTAGAAAATCTTGTTCCAAACCGGCAGTAGAGAGAATACTAGAATTCGGTAGAGACTTGTATAGTATGAGTCAAAGATTAAAAGCGGATAAAACTAGTAAACAACACAATCAAGAGATGTTAGAAGTAAGTACTTGTGGTTTGTTTTAAATATTTTTTTAATGGGTTTTTTTTTTAAATTTTAGGATGCATTTAGTTTATTAGCGTATTCTAATCCTTGGGCAAGTCCTATGGGGTGGCAACTAGCGCCTTCGCAAAGGGAAGCGGTTTGTGCACAATTAAATTCTGCCATATTAGGTAAGAAACATATTGAACTTGATTCATTGAAACTCACTTCATGTGATTATTCCCACTAAACATGACTACATAAAGTTGAGGTAGACATTTATGCAACTAAGTAATTTTCAAGTTACAATAAGGTAAAATTTAACTTAAATGTTACGCATGTCATCTGAAAATGAGGCTTTTTTGTTAATAGGATATATATCTCACCAAAATAAGTTATTTGACAGGAAATTGTTTATATTGTCACAACTGCCCGCTTTACGGAGGTGACATGGGGGATTTGTAGCTTTGGGGGTTGATGGAGAGAAACTTGCTCAGGTTATATGAAAATATAGATATATATTTTCCCAAATATACCCTTACATGTACGCTAATCCTATAAGATGCATGACCCTTCGAACACTGGGGTCCTTATAGGGAGCCACACGTCAACGCTGCTTGGGGGACTGTAGATTAGTTATCGTCACCCTTATGCCTTGTCCAGAGGGGCTTTGCCAACGCGAGGTAATTGCACTGGACAACGATAAGGCTGAAGATACCCAGAGGTGCTTTTCCAACGAGAGGTACTTGCACTGATTTAAGTCTGCCTTTGATGCGGTTTGCTGTGTGCAGCTATTCTCTTATTTAGCCTTTCAGTGAGACCATTACAACAAGGATGATATGCGGTTGTAAAGTGGCTTCTTACTCCCAATAATTTTTCTAATTCCCTTACTAATTCCGATTGAAAGACTTTTCCTCTGTCGCTGAGCAGATTTCTTGGCATCCCGTGTATCAAGAATACTTTTTCCAGTAAAAAATTTGTAACTAGTCCGGATTTTCCATTCGGAAGGGCGGCTGTGATGGCATATCCTGAGGCGTAATCGGTAACTACAACTATCATTGTTTCCCCTTTACTGCTTTTTCTAAATGGGCCTAAAAGATCAATTCCTATTTTGTCGAAAACTGTTCCCACTGGTATTGGTTGTAACATCCCTGGCGTTTTTCTGTAAGGAAGGCCCCTTTCTAGCTTGGCAATCTGGGCATCCCTTAACGTACTTTTCGATGTCCTTTAGCATTCCGTCCCAAAAAAATCTGTTTTTAATTTTGTCCGTTGTTTTGCTCAGTCCCAAGTGTCCACTTGGCGGTGATGCATGTCTTATTAATTTTATAGAGTAAGTCTTTTTCAATCCTACAATTTTTTGCTCTTCTTCTGATGCCAATATTAATTTCTGGGTCGTCTGGGTTTCTTATAGCTTTGAATATTTGTTTTAGACTTGGGTCTTTTTCCTGTAATGTAGCCGTTTGCAGTGTGAATGTGGGGAGCTCCCCTTGCTCTTCTTTTTCCTGGGATTCTGGTTGAAGCACTGGATTGCGGGACATATAGTCGGCTTCGCTATGTGTTGAGCCTTTTTTTATATACAACCGTGTAATCGAATTCTGCAAGTTTTAGTGCCCACCTGGCCAAGCGTCTGTTGCTTTCCTTAATGGAGTCCATCCAGCAAAGAGCATAGTGGTCAGTGACGATTTTTACTGGTCTTCCGTAAATTAAGTGTCTCAGATAGCTCAATGCCCACACTACGCCTAAGAGTTCTAATTCACTAGTTGAATAGTTTTTTTCGCTATTTGAAAGACTTCTGCTTATGTAGGCTATTGGATGTGCTTCTCCCTTGTCGTCTTCTTGTAAAAGTACTGCCCCAATTCCATATGTTGCTGCGTCGGTGTGCAAAATGGTATCTTTATTTGGATTGAAATGTTGTAGCACAGGTGCGGAAACCAGTTTTTCTTTAAGGATGTTAAATGCTTTGTTTTGTTCAGAACCCCATTTGAACCCTATGTTGTTTCTTGTAACTTCATGTAGCGGTCTTGCTATTGATGCGAAGTTCTGTATAAATTTTCTATAAAAATTACATAATCCTAGAAAGCTCTGTAAGTACATCTTAAATTTTCTTTGGCGTCAGGAACCCTCTTATGCAAATTATTTTTTCTTCATCTGGTAATATGTCTTGCTCCTTTACTTTAAATCCTAGTATTTTGATTTCTTTTTTCAAATATTCGCATTTGCTTGGTTTTAGGGTAATGTTAGCTTGTCGCAATCGCTCAAAAACTTTCTTCAGTTTGCTCATGTGTTCTTCGAATGTTTGTGAGAATATAATGATGTCGTCTAGGTAGATTAGCACTTCCTTCCATTTCATATCCCAAAAAACTTGGTCTGCTAGTTCTTGGAAAGTGGCTGGAGCGTTGCATAATCAAAATCTTGTTTCTCCATCTTTTTTCTTAACTAGCACTACAGGGCTAGCCCATGGAGAGTGGCAAGGCCGAATTACTTCGCTATCGAGCGTTTCCTGGATTTGTTCGTCAATAATCTGTCTTTCTTTTTGTGACACTATGTATGGGCGGCTCTTTATTGGGCGAGCCTCTCCGACGTCTATTATGTGTTCTGTTAAGTTTTTCTTTCCCATATGTTTTGTAGATTTCGCGTAAACGTCGTTGTATTCCAGAAGGAGTTCTTTGAGTTCATGCCTGTTCTTCTCGTTTGTGATGCTGTCTAACGTATGATCTTCCATTGTTATTTCTTCGCTCTCTTCATCTTTTTCTGCTCGCAACATGAAATTGTGTGAAAGGATGCTGTTTTTGCCAAAAATGCCATTGTGGTTCCGGCGTATATAGCTACTGGGTTCCTTGTGTTCGATTGTACTTTTAAAATGAGGCTACCTTCATTGGTGTGAATGTGCTTTTTAGTTCAAGATGATTTTTTGAGTTAATGATGAAATCACTTTGGCGTTTAGTCTGCCCTTCCATTTTTGACTCCCTGGTATTTCTATCGGAACTTCAATGTCTCCCAAAACTTTTATCTGGTGTCCCCCTGCAGTGACTAGAACCGTGTCATCATTTCTTGTTAGTTCCTCTTTGATTAGACTTCTTTGTAGAACGCTATCTTGTGTTTCTGTATCCACGACATTTATTTATTTATTTATTTATTTATTTATTTATCTCATTCAACAACAATATAATACACAGCAAGAAGATGATGATGACACAATATGCATATAATGGACATGCGCGTCTGTGTGAATGCATATTGGGCTCATCAATAAATTTTACAATTAAATTAACCTATAACATTAAAAAAAGAAAAAACATTTACACATATTACCAATAAAGGCCGAGAAGAAAAAAAGGAGAAAGAATTGAATGGTATTTGTGTTATCCCTAATCCATACATGTAACTGTTTCTTAATCCTACTATATTTTCTGTTTTTATATTATTCTGGTAACATATTCAATAATTTGGGTGCTATATAAGTAATACATCTTTGTGTCGCACTATAATGCGTAATGGGCAATATAATATTATGATTTGCATTTGCTCTTGTTTGAATGCCATGACTGATAAAATTCTGAAAGTTTTTGCTGGAAATTGAAAATCTAAGGACATTTTTAATATATAGTTGAGCAACAGTGAAAACGCCAGACTCCATGAACAATAGGTCAGATGGGAATTGCTTATGTTTAGACAAAATAACTTTTAATATATATTTTTCTGCGATTGACAAGAAATGTCAGCATTTTTGACCGGTTGACAGGTCGCAAAACTCAATATTCTGGTATTTCAATTATGTTTCAATAGTTGCTAAGGAATCAATGAATAACAATACAGGCCTAGGCCGGAAAAGTGATTCTCGTATTGCTGAATAATTGGAACTGAAAGACAAACATTTAATATTGTCACAATAAGTTAAACGTCCGCCAGGCTGTCAAGAATCGATCTCGGAAATACTAGAATCTAGCGAATTATTCTACTTTAATCTGGAAAATTAGATTATCGTGTGTATTCTAGATTTCACAGGAATAGATTTAGGGATATATAAGAAGGCCGGCATTGGTTTGTAAGTTAGTTTTCAGTTCGACTGTGATACGATTTAAATAGTGATTGTAAAGAGTTTAATTGTTGAGTTTGTTAATAAAGTAATTAGTGTCAGAGTGTTTTGTTAAGTGGAATAAATTATTGCTGTGTTAATTGGACTTTGATTTTTGGAATAAACGAAACGAACAACGAACCCAAGATTTTTGTCAGCAGGCAACCCAAAGCGCGACATTGGTGCCAAGAAGTGGGATATAAAGGACTGCAGAGTGAAATCCAATTGCGGAAGTGTGGGGACACTAGTGTAGTGTAAAAACTAAACACTAAGTGAACACTGGGACAGTTAGTGCAGTGCAAACAGTGACAATCACAAAAAGAGACTCAACCGATCGTGTGAATTACCCCGGAAGTGACTCTATCCCCGATTTAGACTGTGATAGTGAATCTTCGAGTGAGTTCTAGAAAATTCTATTTGGAAACTAAGGGAGATATCGAATTTGTGACTTCGCCGACGCATTCGGAACATCAATCGTCATTCAGAAGAAGTTTTTCGAGGAGTTTCGGGAAAATTCTAGAACATTCTATTTGGAAACCAAGGGAGATATCGAAATTGTGACTTCACCAACGTGTTTGCTGTATCAATCGACATCTAGAAAAGAAGTTTCAAGAAAATTCCAGAACATTCTATTCTAGAATAAGGCAAGTTATCCAATTTGTGACTTCACCGGCGTGTTTGGAACTTCGAGCAAAGACCAGAAAAGATATTTGAAGAAAGTTCGAGGGAAATTCTAGAACATTCTGTATATGCCTATCACAAGACAACAAGCCAAAATGGACGAACAAAAAGTTGAAGAACTCCTGCGCAAAATGTTGGAACTTCAAGAGACCAAACGACAACAAGAAAAACAAGACGAAGAAGCTAGAAGACAACAAGAAAAACAGGACGAAGAAGCTAGACGACTACAAGAAAAACAAAACGAAGAAGCCAGACGACTACAAGAAAAACAAGACGAAGAAGCTAGACGACAACAAGAAGAAGCTAGAAGACAACAAGAAAAACAAGACGAAGAAGCCAGACGACAACAAGAAAAACAAGACGAAGAAGCTAGACGACAACAAGAAGAGGCCAGACGACAAAAAGAAAAACAAGAAGAAGAAGCTAGGCGACAAC